ATTAAGCTTATAAGTACCATTATTCTATGCAAAGAACCAAAATATTAATAAAAATGTAATAAAAATTGCCTAAAAACATGTATAAATACGGAAATACCGGTAGTGCTCTAGACTACTGTGTTGATTTAGCAGGAGCGCGACCGACTGCGAGTCACACAGAGCCGTTAGAAAATATATGTTGACCGGCATTGATCGAATCTTGAATTCCAGGTGGGGGACTTTGTTTTACTGAAAGCATCGCCATGGAAGGGAGTCATTAGGTTCCAGAAGAAGGGCAAGTTAGGGCCTCGATATATTGGCCCGTTCGGGGTTTCGACTCGGGTGGGCAACATGGCTTACCGTTTGGATCTGTCGGACAAGATTACCAAGATTAACAATACCTTCCATGTGTCTCAGCTTTGGAAGTGTGTCACATACGAGGATGGAGTTATATCCTTGGATGACATTAAGGTGGATGAGAGTCTGAACTACATTGAGCGGCTCGTGGTAATTTTAGATAGGAAAGTCAAGGTCGTTCGTAATAAAGAGGTGAGTCTAGTGAAGGTGCAATGGCAGCATTGGAGGGGCTCCAAATGGACGTGGGAGCCGGAGGATAAGATGCGAGAGCACTACCCAGATTTGTTCGCATCAGCAGACTTCGAGGACGAAGTCTAGTTCAAGTGGGGGAGATTTGTAACACTCCTTTCAGGTATCAATTACTTTTCAGAATTTTCAGGTTTTAGACTAGAACTCAACGAGTAGTAGAGCTCCAAATCATCGAGTAGAGATCATTTGTGGGATGCAGGATTTAGAATCTACTCGATGAGTTGGAAGACCCAACTTAGCGAGTAGGCGCTGTAAAGGAAAACCCTATTTTCAGGGGTTTGCACCCTATATAATCTCCTTAAAACCTTGAGGCTGGCCTTCCATCAGCCTCCAAACCCTAATAACGTCAGTGCAAAACCCTAATCTCATTTTCTCTCATATTGTGAGCTAGAGTGAATTTTGGAGCTTGAGAAGAATAAGATAGTGAGAAGAAAGAGAAGATCCAACAAACAAAGCCCTCATTCTTGAGCTTGACCATATTGTGGACTATTGTAAGCACTCAAGATTAGATATTTATTTTAGAGTGTGCTAGATCTTGCGTTTACTCTTCATTTCCTATCATTATTGTTGATTGCATCCTAGATCTACGTTTTGGTCAAGCATGGATGCCATGCATGGATTTTAGGGTATATTTTCCCTCTTTGGCCATTTTGACTTCAACAAATGCACTGGACATGCACGTCCATAAAGTCTCCATCTTTGGAACATTTTGAGGATTATAACCTCTTCTAGAAAGGAGGGATTACAAATCGTTAGAGTCTTAAACCATATTGGTAAGCTTTTGATATTTCCAACCTTTTTTAAAAGCTTTAGAGCATTCAGAGTGGTTCTAGAGGATAAAGCTGGAAACTTTATCCTTCTAGACACCTTTAGATTTCATATCTAAGCCCTAGAGTCCCTGCAATCAACATATCATTTGAATGTGCAAACAGGGGGGAAACTTGACGAGTTTCTCTGGCAACTCGACGAGTTGGATCGGGTTTCCCCGTCTATTGGATATTGAGTGAACTTGACGAGTTTATGAGACAACTCGGAGAGTTGGCTAGGGTTTGTCCCAGTTTTTTGGACTCTAAAGGAACTCGACGATTTGGGGTCAACATGGATCATTGATCTTGACTGTTGACTTGGACTTTGACTAGGGTTGGCCAAGTTTGACCTTAAGGGTGTTTTTGGTATTTTGGGATTTTGACAAGTAATCACATGATGATTTTAGACATTTGAGTTGGAGCTGCCATTTGGGACTTATCTTATCAGTTCAACATTTCTTGAGAGGTGAATCTTCTCACCATAGTAATAGGTCTAAGGCACCAAGGTCGGCCCATTTCATGATATATGGATTGATAGTTGATTATGTGATATGTCGTTATGACACTTGTATGTAAGTCCCCAGGGGGTTCCCGTGGCAGTATATTAACACCATGAGGAGGTTCCTATGGCATTTGGTATAAGTCCTTAGAGGATTTACACGACTTCCTAGTATGTTTACATGTTTAGATCGTATGATATTACTATGGTTAGGGTAGACCGTGTGGAGGTTCCCACGATAGTTAGCCAAGACCACATGGGGGTTCCAATGGCGGCTAGCAAAGACCATGTGGGGTTCGCATGGCAGATAATTAAGACCACGTTGAGGTTTCCAGTGGCACTTGGTGTAAGACCTTGGATGGTTTCCATGGCATCCTTATATGTTTGTATGTATAGGTTATGTGTTGTATGTAGCTTATAGAGCTATTATGGATTATGTGATTATGTGGGTTGTGTGGGGTATGCTCTGGGGAACTCACTAGTATTAGCTTACAATTTGTTGATTTGTTTCAGGTACATTTGAGCCTAAGGGAAAAGCCAAGGCTTGATGGCGCGGTATGTACTCTTTGACATTTGATTTGATGGGACACTCTGATGTTTGAAATAAAATGTTAATGTTATGGATTTTGAAAACAATTGTCATTGTTACTTCATATTTTATGGGAATGTTTTAGTTAATTAAAAATGAAAATTTTATTTGAAAATTTGGGTCGTTACACCATATTTATCTGTACTTTCCTCAAGAACTGTCTTGACTCCACCAAGTCCCTTTTACTACTACTGCTTCACGCACTAATCTCATCCTAGGCTTGCCCTAGGGAAATCTCCACCCCACTCTCTGCCATCAACTGCATAAGAAGTCCCTATTATCTCCCCTAACTAGCTCGTGAATACCATTTCATATCACTAAGACCAGATAATTCTTCGAGTGAGATATTCTACCCTACAACGGTTAGACTCAAACGAGAGCTGCGAAATTGAGCTAAACCCAACCTTCTGGAATTATTTAATCCTCATAATATGTAAGTTAACATATTCGTTTACTAGTTAGTTAAAGATAACTATAACTCCTAAAAGTACAAAGCAAGCAACATTCGAGCATTGAGTAAACGTAATCAAGCATGTCATACTCAGGCTATCATATTACTGACTAATCAATACTAGCATACGGTTCAATAAGCTCATAACATCCATATAAGGCATCCTTCCTAGATCCTTAGCCCTAACTAGCATACAGTTCTCATACACATATAATCAGGCATACAAGGCATCATTCCTAAATCCTTAGCCCTAATCTAGCATGCAGTTCTCATAATCATAACATACAATCTTGTATGGGTAATTTGGGAGAACTTACTTGAGCCCGATTGATTACATGCACCACACCCTTTTCTCTTTTCAAAATACTTTTTGTAAAAATGGTTTTTCTTTTTAAAAAATTTATACCAAGTCCTCAGTTTGACTTCAGACACATCGAGAGTGTGCCTGAATTCCTCGAACCAAGGCTCTGATACCAACTTGTAACATCCCAAATTTCAAGAACAAAAATTTCATATTTAAATCATTAATAAAACCATAATTAACAATTCATCACATAAAAAACCATAAGTCATGTACCTCAAAATATCATAAACATCTATCAAACATATCAGAGTAAAAACATCCAAGGCTAAACAAATGGTGTGTGCACTATAGTCATCCTGAGCCCTACCCATTGCTACCGGAAGTACCTGAAACCAAAACTAAAATCTGTAAGCACGAAGCTTAGTAAGTCTCCCTAAACTACCACATACCATACACATAATCACATAATAACATAACATGGGCCTTGCCTGTTACATCGGGCCCCGCTCGACATCAGACAATGTCCGACATCGGGCCCCGCCCGACATCAAGCAAAGCTCGGTATACATATAAACATATCAACAAATACACATAAATCATCACATATCATAAAATTATAAACATTCCTCGGGCCCCGCCTGACATCGGACTGAAAGCCGGAAGCATACAAACATAATTTGGGCTTTCCCCGGTATTTGACAGAAGTCTGGAAACATATAAAACAAACACATGCAAGAATCACAAAGACATCAAGCACACAGACATTCGCTGGGCTTTCCCTGACATCAGACCGAAGTCTGGAAACATATACATCTACATCGGGAATTGCTCGGTATCGGACCTTAGTCCGGAATATGCTAACATACATAAACGGGCCGACATTAGTGCCTTCGACCTGTTCCTACAAGAAGAAACTTAGCTCGCAAAGCTGAAAGCTGAATCTCACATCAAGGAATCTCTAGTGGCTACCCCGACGACTCCACGAGATATCATGACCAAATAACACTTAGTCAAAATCCAAATAATCCTTCCTAGGATAAAATGACCATTTTACCCCTGATCTAAATGGGCCCATGACCTAGGCCCTAATCCATAACATGAAGGCCCAAATATATGTAGTCTCTCTAAGCCCACTTATCGCCTAATTTTTTAAATTGGGCCCAATTCTCAAATAGGCCTTTCCTCAAGCCCAACATATAATATAGTCCAATATCAGCCCAAAAGAACGATCCAATAAGGCCTA